CATTTAGCATTTATGTACTGCATTTTTCCATTAAGGCTAATAACTAGGAAGCCAATACCACATTAAATAAGTGATCTTGATTGAGTTAAATTGCTGCAGTAGCACACAGAACACCAGGATGTTCTGATATGTATATCGTTTCTAATTTCCGAAACAGAGGACCTTAGCAGTGGTGGTGTGTATATGGTCACATTGTGTTAAAATACTTTTAAGGTTATTATGTGAATGATATCAGCTGCTGCCTTTCCTGGAACATTTCAGTCAATCTATTCTGTTATGGAACATCTGCGCACAGGTCCTAAAGAGATCAAGGACTCAGAGGAAAGTAATGTAAATGTATATAAAAAGAATTCTTATTTCTGTCAGCCATATTTCCCGCCCTGCTAGGTTGAGTCAAGACCTCGCTAAAGACCTAGCTATATTGGCTCGAGAGATCCATGACGTGGCAGGTGATGGTGAGCTACAAAACCCTGGAGTGGAGAGCAATGCGCCCGTCTCCACAGTGACCACTCACGAACAGGTACATTAAACGTTTTTCTGAGGGCTGCTTAGTCTAACACACTGTGCGGTATCTTTTTTTCTTTTTTTTTTTTTTTTGGTCCTTTTTTATCACAAACACTCTTTTGTTGAAAGAGGAAGTGTTTCGCAGTGCTTTTGTTGGAAGTTCTTGTATAGTACAGTGTTGTACTTTGGCTATCCAGATCTGCTGCAGTTATGTAACATGACGTCTTTTAAAATTTCCTAAATGGTCAAATGAAATCCATCGCTTTTGGTTGGTATAGAACAGTACGTAATGGTTATATCGCTTTACCTTGTTTAACACATTAGCCAAAAGGGACTAACTGTCTCTCTGTCGGTCTTAAACTGTAACATCAATTTCTAACACCTTGATTGTGTTCCAGCTCGTTCATCATATTCCAGAGGCTGGATTAAACTACCAGAGAGTCCCACCAAGTTCTACATCTACAAGGGACCTTGACCAAAGCTTGAGTGACCATGAACAGAACTGCAGGCCGCAAGCTCGTAGCAAAGACGAGGTCTGACCCAATATGCCACTTCACCTTATTTTCAAAACCTCTGTCATGCTAGCCTTGGGATCGTTAGAAAGTATTTTTTCTTTGTCTCCAGGTCATTGTGGACATTCTGATGCTAAATCCTGTGTCTCAGATCATCATGACCATAAGAGAAAACACTGAGCAACTTGCTGACAAAATTAAGTAAGATTATAACAAAACACACATCAGGAGCACTTATATAAACATCTTTTATCCCCATGCTTAATCTGGGTTGATGAAAAACTATTGATCCTGCCTGACAACCAGACTGCACTGAGCCAATAATCTTATTAAACTTGTGTAACTGCATGAGTCAGCACACAGATGTATAGTCTGACAATATCGGACTGAGAAGACCACAGATCTGAACCTTCTGAATAGATTAGATGCCCATAAAACCACTGGAGTTAAACAAGATGCAGCCACAATTTGTTCCAACCAAAAAACCTAAGATATCAAAGAAGAAATATAGGATCATGAGGGTCTTGCACTCTCCAGACTAAATCAACAATGTTTTGACATAAAAATGTTGATTGTTCCTTTTTTTTAAAGAACACTGTAAGAAGTCCACTTTCTGACGGAATTTGACATTCTGCACGCAGGGTACTGTTCCAGGGCAAGATGGATATCTGGGAAGAAATTGAGACCAAGGTTAATTCTGACAATAATTTTCCTGTTGTCAAAACCTCCAACAAGGTGGGTGACTGATATTTTGTCAATATTCAATTCGGTTCCAAAAACTCATGTACAACATAAAAACATCAATATAAGACTCCCATCAAATTATATTAAAACACAAACAATTCCATATCTAAATAAGAGCAGGTGTGTGTATTTTCAGTCTACACTCATTCAAGTTAATTGTATGCTAAATAATTATATATGTCTGAACTAAGTTGTATGTGTGTTTCAGGAAATCACGTCTATCTTGAAAGAACTCAGGAGAGTTCAACGACAACTTGAGGGTGAGTCAGCTGGACACTAGGCCCGGGCAATAAAACTAATGATAATTTTTGCAGTATAATTTTCTTCATTAACAATATAACAAATGTTCAATCAATTATTTAATTCATTTGAATCACGAACGAATTAGCACTTTTTCTATTAAGATTTATTTTATTGAGGAAAAGGGACTGAAAATAGATTTTACTTAATGTTACTCGTGCATATTTGTTGAAAAAAATTTTTTATCATTATTTTGAATGTTCCACCTCAGATTTGTTAAGTGATCCACTGTTTGTCAAGTGTTAGTCATATTCTGACGATAAAGAATAGTTTAAAACCACAATTAACCATCTGCTCTCTTCAACTTTCAATCAGATTATTGTAATAATAATATTTATAAGATAAATACAAATGATTTAAAAATCATAAATAATCTTCATACTACTTTTTGTATCATGAACCCCCCCCCCCCCCAGTCATTAACACAGTCATGGAGCCCAATGACCAGCCTGAAGCATCCAAGGCCTCAGCCTCTTTGGTCTCCTCCTCGTCTGGAGTTCGTCCCTCCAGACCTCCCACCTCACGAGACTTCAGAACAGTCCACTCTGCCTCCAAACGGGGTGGCGGCCTGAGGCCCAGTGAGAGCATCAGGAGAGCAGCTGTGACACCAGACGATCTCAGAGAGGGCTATTTGGTGTGAGATGTTACACAAGTGCTGAACTTCTGCTGTTCCACCACAAACCCAGGTGTCGGACCATTGTGCACACAATGAAACCAGGAGGGAGGAAGTGAAACGCAGAACTGTAGCCTCCTGTATATCCAAACATACACACTACTGCACTATACACCTACACAGGGGTGTAATTCACAGTGAAGCCTCTACTAAACACCGTTAAAATATGCTCAGTGAGAGGGCTACATATGAGGTGATGATTTAAGGAAGTACCAAAATACTTCAGTAAATCTCCCCTTCACCTCTGACAGGCCTCGAAACTATACTTGATTCTCTGTGTGTTAAAGGTTGACCTCTTTATTTGCCAATGATATGACCAACATTTAAAAGTTCATTGTACTTACTTGGTTTATTAGTATAAAAAAAGTATAAAAAAACAGCCTGAGCATAATCATCTCAGGAGAATTTGTTAATATTTTTATGTTTAGTGACAAATCACATTTTTGAGGAAATATTAGTTGATGGGTATTTGTTTTGGGTAGAAAGAACTGCAGTAACACGATGCAGATCTGGTGTACTTGTATCCACAGTAAACCCACTACCTTTCCTTATGTGTTGTGTTCCAAGTTTTTGTCTTTGTGGACCAGATTTATCAAAGAATGTAAAGTATTTATTAGGGGTCTTTTGTGAGACGCTGTAACCGAGACAACATGACTTTGGGAGAGTTGGTGGACTCTAGTGCCAGACCAGTAATGTTATATTACACAGTTGCTACCAGCCAGTTTCTTTTGTATTTATTCTGTTAACATTTCCCAGGGTAGAGACTCTGTCCAGGCCCTCCTCAGTACATGGACTTTATATTTTGTCCAAGTGGAGATGAAAATCCCTCAGGAATGTGTGAGCCAAATGGTAAGAGGGAATCGGCCCATAGTTTAGTTACCCAGCAACCACAAACTCAAGTTGGCTAGAAAACGAATTTTCAAGCATTCCTGGCTCCTCTACCTTCTGAAAGGTATTTTTTATTTTTCAAACAAAGCCAAGGGGAATTGAAACTTGACTATTGTCTTGTGTCCATGTCTGAGGAGCACAACTGCTAGGACTCCTTTATCTGTGTGTGTGCTGAGCTCCTCACACCACACCCAAACCCCTCCATATGCTCAAGATCTGATATTTCCTCTAGTCTCTCAAGTCACAAAGTCCCTTCTGATAGGTCCTCACATGACAGGAGAAGTAATTTTAGCATTTACGTTGATGTGGTCAATTGTTTGAAACTGTAAGTCTGATAATGAGTTTGTGACATTCTGTTTTTCAGTATGCAAATGTATAAAGATATTTATATGTCCTACAAATTACCTCTCAACCATGTCTTTTTGCACTAATGTAGTACAAAATTCTCCCCTCCACCTGATAAGCTGCAAACTGAAAGCCTTTACTGCCAAAGATTGTAAACATTTGAAGAAGCAGGAAAGAACGTGACCCAGTATACCAGCAAGTTTCCCTCACCCAGTCCCGACTTGTACATGTGATGGTAATTGGGAAGTACCTATATGTGCCACAGAGCTGTGTGTGTGTGTGTGTGTGTGTGTGTGTGTGTGTGTGTGTGTTCCATGCAGCCACAGTGGTGGTTTACAAACTGAAGCAGAAATTGAATGTTTGCCCTTCTGGCTCCTCTTGCTCAGAGTGTTGCTGCTATTCTTCTTCTATGGTATAGTATTTCCCCTTTACTTTACTCAGCTACAAAGCTACAGCAGGTTTGAGAGCTGAATTGTAATTCTTGTTTGTCAAATGTCCCCCCCCCCCCCCCCCCTTTGATATTCAATTTGTTCCCTCCTTTCAGCCTGGATGATTCCGTTGTAATCGCTGTCTTGTTAGCTGGTATTTATGTTCGGTTGTTTGTGTAATCCATTAGCTGATTTCAGGTTTTTCAAATAAATTTTGATTTGCAAAGTTTCTTTGTTTCATGACTTCTATTTGCTCACTACACTCTTTCTATTCCTGAGCAAAAAACATGTCTCAAAACCTGAAATGAAAGTGAAAACAGGAACCATGCTGGATATATATACTCTGCAGCAGAGAGATCACTTCGGCTCAGTTTCGAGCGACAGCTGAAGGGCTGGAGGCAAGTTTGAGGGAAAAAAATTTTTTCAACTTTGTAAGTTGCTTTTGCTTTCAATAGCTTGAAAACCAAACTTTACGATTGAAACCATTCAAACTGCTAACTTGTTAATTCTGTCATTAGTGTGGTCAGAATTATAAGCTCTCAAAGTGGTTCTTCGTCTGAGAACAATTTTCTGCTTTTGAACTTTAATAGGCACTCAAAAGGGAAAATGACCTCTATGTATGAACGCCTTCATGACAGTTCTGTTTCAAACAAAGCGGTAGGACTGCGCCAAATATTCACCAAGTTATTCATTGTGGTTTGTGTGAAAACATTGTTCTTATTGTTGGACTTGTTTTTCTGTTAAACTTCACGCTGTTAGAGGTCGACCAGCTGTGTGACATTAGCTGTGGTTTTGGGCTGTCTGACCGTCCTGGGGATCTTGCTTGCCATCGCTGTACTGGAAAGACCACCAGAACCCAAAGATCATGAGACTCTTCCCGGGGAAGCTGGTGGTGGCAATTCCTCTACGGACCAGTGCAGGTAATCATCCCACTGAAGCGGATCAAAGTCTGTAAACACTGGTGTGCTTTTAATGGCCACTAGGGACTTATCAGTTGTTTTGATAAAACTTCCTCTTTATAACATTGCTTTGGTGAGTACTTTGCAATTGAGAGGCCTAACTATAATCTATTAACATGTCTGCTTTTGAAAGCATTCTTCCTTTACATACTTTTTTCCACATCTGCCTAAAACTCTTCCACAGTAGCTCACTTTACATCTATTGACTGAATGATTAATTTTCTCCCTAAGTTATAACTTAATTTTCTCTTTAAAGAGATTTCCCTCAGCAGATGTCTTTGTTCATCTCTTAGCATGGCCCTGGTGGAGAGCATCCCTCAACATGTGAAATATAAAGCCAATGTAACGCTTGGCGTCCCTCTGGAAAAGGTCTGGAAAGATCTTATCTCAATGGCAACACACCAAGTGGATGTGGCCTCTTTCTACTGGACTTTAACTGGGGAAGACATCAATGTTAACTCTTCCTCTGACATACCTGTGAGTTGTCAGCTAAAACGCATAGAAACATGAAGAAACACAATTGAATATCTTGGTGTGCTTGGGAGAAAAGGGGCCTTTAACGCTTTCAGTCTGTCCTCGGCAGGGACGGGACATCCTGAAAGAACTTGAAGAGTTGCCCTCCAGAAATGTATCTGTCCGAGTGGTGACGAGCATTCCCAGCGTTAACACAAACTCCACAGATTTAAAGATCTTAAAACAGAAAGGTTTGGAAGTGACTGCCCTGTTCTTGTTCTATACATTCACTGCAATACGTTTTGATCTGCCACCTTCTTTGAGCTCTGCTCTTCTGTCTTAGGGATTCAGGTGAGGAAGGTGAACTTTGGCCGCTTGACGAGGGGCGTCATGCACAGCAAGTTCTGGATTGTTGATAGAAAACATGTGTTTATCGGAAGCGCCAACATGGACTGGAGGGCTCTCACACAGGTAACCGATGCTTATATGAAACCTTGTAACACTGACTGACAATTTCATGATTCACCTTTGTCTGTAGGTGAAGGAACTGGGAGTAGTTGTCTACAACTGCTCCAGTCTAGCAAAGGACCTCCATAAGATTTTCCAGTCTTACTGGGTGATGGGACAATCCAACAGCTCCCTGCCTCAGCCCTGGCCTGCAGAGTACGACACGGACATCAACAAATATCACCCCCTGCTGGTGAAAACGGATAATGTCTCCAGCAGGCTTTACCTTGCAGTGAGTTCCTTTGTATTAGGCTTCAATTCTTTTTTACGGGTCACTGTTATTCTGATCTCTATTTACAGAGAAGCGACTGTACAGTGTGTGTGCTACTACTTTGCCTAGAACAACCTGACTCAAATGTTTTAGTTGTTTTTGGTGGTGTTATTATTCCATATTTTCGTTTCACCCCAGGGTTCTCCACCATCATTCTGTCCTCCATCAAGGACACAGGACCTTGAGGCTATCCTCTCGATCATCTCGGAGGCCCAACACTATATCGATATAGCCGTCATGGAGTACTTCCCCACCACGCGCTTTGAAAAGCCTCGGAGGTGAACCTCCCCCTCATTTGAAGCCATTTGTCTCCGTCAGACTGTTCACCTCTTGCTTTATTTCTTCACTCTGGATTCTTAAATTGAACAGATACTGGCCATTCATTGACGATGCCATCAGAGTGGCCGCATTCGAGAGGAAGGTTGAGATCCGGATGCTGATCAGCTGTGGGCAGGACTCTGATCCAGCCATGCTGCCCTTCCTTCAGTCTCTAGCCTCAATGGACAGCCCTCACCATGATATCAGCATCCAAATAGTAAGAAACAACACGAGATAAACACGTTTTTGCCACCGAATTTATTTATTTATTTTTAAATTGCATATCATTCTTTTTTTTTTTTCAGAAATTGTACATTGTGCCTGTGGGAAACCAGTCTGATATTCCATATTCCAGAGTCAACCACAATAAATACATGGTGACTGATAAGGTAGCCTACATTGGTGAGTAACAGAATAACAGTTTAAACTCACTAAAATTCTTCATGTGTTGAGGAGTCAGTTTGTTGCGTGTGAACTGGTTAATAATTGACCAGTAACGCTGTTCCTCAGGTACCTCCAATTGGTCAGGTGACTACTTTGAGACCACAGCTGGAGTGGGTCTGGTGATTTCCCAGCATGCTCCTCACCCTGTATGGAAGACCGAGGCCCTGCAGAGCCAGCTCAGGGCGATCTTTGACAGAGACTGGCACTCTGAGTTTGCTGTGCACCTCGCTGACCTGGGGCACCACCCAGACTGTGCACTATCAAGATGACGCAAACTCCTTTATAAAATTTACATATAACTGTGTATGTTTATTTTCTTATCAAGGCCAACATAGTTGTGACTGATATTGCTGTTTTTATGTTATTTCCATGCTGTGAATGCTAAAAACAATTTAATTATATTCTTTAAGTGCACTGAAAGTGAGGAGGAAGTGGACACTATTACAAATGATTTTAAATGTTTAAAGTACACCAGCTGTTTTATCCTCAGTTATTTGACTTGAATGTAATGCACATGCAAATATGGTTTATTAAGTTGTCATTGATGTTTTTATAAGATGTAGTGCGTGTTTAGTGCTGAGCTGAAAGTTGAATAATATGCTTACTGAATATACTGTATAATAATTATTAAATACTGTATGTGGTTAATATACTTTATAATTCTTAAATATACTGTATGTCAACATCCTTGAGATTGCAGTGAGTTCAACAACAACCCTTGTGTCACAGCCTTGGTAATCAGAATAGCCAAAGCCAGTCAAAAGAATATAAGCTATAAGTATAACATCAGTAGACTACAGCTTTAGCTGTCAACCAGAAACTCAGTTAAACTTATTTTGGCATTGGGCTCATGCAGATTTCTTAGGGAAAGAAATGTCAACATTCATAACTGATAACATCGTCTCTAACATTAAGATTTGTTAGAAGGAGTACTTTTTGGTTTGTTCAATTTTTATAAAATGAAAAGTCCTTATCTTAACAAAGCTCTTAAAAATATTAAATTAAAAATAAATATACTGACATGTGCTCCTTTTTTGATGCCGTGAAGACTTTCCATTTTCTGATGAGACATGGATTGTTTATATAAATAAAGTCAGAATTTGAAAAAAATATCTGCAGCCATGTAAACACTGCAACAATTACAGCTTGACAGAGCATTATCTGGTTAGATGATCAAGTCTCCATGCTTTCCAGTGGATAGAAAGTGTTTTTTTCTTAACGGCCCAAAATCATTGGAAAAGATCAATGCACAAATATTTCCCTGAAGCTGGATGGCTGACTGAAGGGAGCTGTGTGTGTTGTTCCCCTCCCTGACAGTAGAGGGCTCTGTGATTAAACTACTGTCTCCGCAGTGATGGCGCAGGGCGGAGCTCCGGCTTGTGTAGTACGTGTGCTTCGGTGCTTCACAGCCAGCAGCCAGCTTGCGGCCAGTAAGCTAAAACTACAGCTGAATTGAAGTGAGAATCATGGTGCTGCTTGAAAATGACTCGGTAAGGAAAAAGAAAACTTGAATAATTTGACCCGTTGACGCTTTTTTATTATAAACTAAAAACTGACACTGTCTGCTTTAGTTGTCCAACAGCTAACTAGCTAATAGCCTCAACGTTAGACAAGCTAGTCGGCAAACAGACTCGTTAGCAAGCCTACTAACGTTAGGTTGAAGCTAACACTGGTTTTGCGTTAAAATGGCAAATATGTGGATAAAGTTGATGTATTTTCTATAATATTAAGCGCTACATTGTTTTATTGTAACGTAAATACCTGTGTAACTGCGGTTGTGTCTTGCTACCATTTCATACACAAACTTCTAACGTTACTGTAAGTTACGTTAGCATTAAAGCTATGTTAGTAACGTATTATCTGCATTCAGAACTAACTAACTAAACAACATGTTGTGGCTTTCTAATTTAGTTTTTTAAAGACTAGTTAATCAACATTTATAGGTTATCTACTAGGTTATTCATAGCAACCTATGAGTTTCTCGCCAGTTTATTAGGTAACGTCAGCATTACACTTAACGTTAGCTAGCTTAAACTAATGCAGTCTTAATATAATAGACTGAAATGTCTGTTTTGCTCTCCCGTTTATATAAATGAGGGTTGGCTAAAGATTAGAAACACCTTTTTATTATGAGGCAATACAATTTAACACCACCACAAACTTTCAAAACAACCCTAAAGGTGAAAAAACTCCCCTCTCCAACAGTTTCAACAAAACAAGTGTCAATCCATTAGTTTAGGCTAGGTGTACCTAATAAACTGCCACGTGAGTACATAATCAGTCCCTGTATGTTAATTCGTTGTGCTGAGATCAACTGCAGCCCCAAAATTGTCGATATTTATGTTATTATGTTTGTTTTTGCTGTGTTGTCCAGTTCCTCACAGAGCTCACTCGGCTGTTCCAGAAGTGCAGAACATCTGGCAGTGTTGTAATCACGCTAAAGAAATGTGAGTAGATCCCTCCCTAGTTTTGGTAATTATCATTCAAGTTCAAGTCAGGAAGCAAAGCTGCGAGTTTCCTCTCTCAACATCTAAGCAGCTGGGATGGGATGTGTTTCTTCTTTCCAGATGACGGGAGGACCAAACCAGCGCCCCGAAAGGGTCACGCAGAGTCATTTGAACCAGCAGACAACAAATGTCTCATCAGAGCATCTGATGGCAAGAGGAAAATTAGCACAGTGGTGAGCTATGTTTATTAAGTTTTTGTGTTTGATCTTTTATATCTTATGATATTTTTTCTTTTGTTTTTCACAAGCTGTTAATGCAGAATTCTCATTTCTTGCAATTTCAGGTGAGCACGAAAGAAGTAATCAAGTTTCAAATGGTAGGTTGAGTTTGTATTGTGTTTCAGTTTCACTGTTGTTTGAAAGCTATTGTTTGACAGGATCACTTAATGCTGATTTTCTTGATTAGGTCTCTATGGTGTTAACTTGTTGATGAATGAGCAATTGGAACTTAATCAATAACATCAAATTGTCTTTACAGGCATACTCCAACCTTCTAAGAGCTCACATGGATGGACTAAAGAAGAAGGATAAGAAAAACAAAAGCAAGAAAACCAAAGCCACCCAATGAGCAGCAGACTCTTTAACATAACCATGGGTACCTAAACTGGCCTGTACTATTTGAGGGAATGGGAAAGGCCTCCACTTGGTCTGTTGCCCCATCCGGCTTACTTCTCGTTCACCTGAGGCCTCAGAATCACTGTTCATCTACCTGGTGACTGCTTTGATATTATGCCATTGTTTGCATGATGACGTCTCATTCCTGGTCGGTCGGTGCCATCGGTGATCTGGAACAGAAGACCTGAGGATTTCATACAGGATGAGGAAAGTCAACTTTTCTGCTTCAGAACCAGGTCATCAATGGCTGCATTTCCATCTGGAGCCAAATCCATGGAGCCCAATGATTCTTGCCTTTCACACTATTTAATTGTTAGAGTCCCTATTTATGTTACATTTACGGCCAACCTGTGAGCTGTGCTGCCATGTCTCAATTCGACTGCATTTCAAGAAGAATGTCCAGTCATTGAGATTTTTTATTTTAAAGATGAAAATCATTTGAGATTACTGTTAAGTTGCTTGGAAATGCAGAACTAAATCATTTCCTCTACTTTTAAAACACATTTTACTGTATTTGACTTTTTTTTTTTAATTGAATTTACCTTTTTTTGAAGTACAATGTGTATTATTTCGCCCCCTTGTTTTGAATCATGGTTGCATACCAAGCTTTTGAAATCATTAAACACCAATAAAATGTTCTGTGTAGCTTCAGCTAATGTGGTTAATTGAAATGTGATGGTACCTTTTCTGAATGAGTTGAATAGCACAATAAACACGTTAAATTGTAGATTTACTGAAAGGCATTGATTTTGAGTTATGAATACACAGAGCAAGTATTGGCTGTAATGTCATTTCTGTTCCTCACAATTACAAAGCAGATTTAACTACAACCAGAATATTTTGTCAAATATTTGTATTGTCTTGTTGCGCTCCTGAATCCTGCAGCAGAGTTTAAGTTCAGAAATAAAGTGCTTTGTTAAAAATCACTGTTTTGGTTTTGTCCATTGGGATAAAATGGTAAACAATGACAAGCGATGTAGAAAAGTAGACAGTAAATACACTATTTACACAAAACACATTTCTGTGATGTTCTGGAAAAACAGTCTTGAGCTGTGTATTGAGAGAAGTAGCGTCTCATAGTGCTGTGTTCCTCTTGTCCGGTCTTTCTTTTGGGGAGACTGCTAGGTGGCGCTGTCGGTGGCTCTCCTCCTGGTATCCCTGCGTCATGAGGCTGGTCAAATACTGGAACATGGTCTGGATCATAAACAAGAACACAATGAAACATTGAACTGGGTCAGGGTCCCCATAGGTGGACATTGGACATGATTCTTTCAAACAAGATTTGAATTGTCTGATAGCAAATGGGAAATGCTTTGTGATGCTTAAGCTACTAAAGTGTGAGCATTATTTTGTATGCAGACAACACAGTTTCCTGTGCTTGATTATTCAGCCAGGGCCTTAGTGCTATGTGATGTTTAGGTGTTCACAAATATGGACCAACGCTGGAGTGGAGAAACATGGGAATGGGAGAATGGGAAGGGTTTGGATGCAAAGGAGAGATTTATTTAGGAAAAACTAATTCTAGGCTCCTGGACAAAAGAAGTGTGCATATTGTGCTACAACTTTGTGTTTGGTGAGTCATTTGTTTGAATAATGAAAAAAAAACAGCTTAGAGGTACAAACAGTGGGCTACACTAAAATGCTTTGACAATGGTCACATTTAGGATGATAAACTATCAATATGATACTGAGAATTATGTAGGCCTATATATCATTTATCTAAGAAGCGAAAATGTTGATGTGCCTAGCTGAGATCTAGGATTTTATCACTGTGTTGAAACCAGTATGTCAGTCTGGAGGAAGACGGGGAAAAATGCTCTTCGTCATGATAAACTTTAGGCTTGTAGCAGTTCTTTTCATTATACTATTTATCAGAAAATGTTGACATGAATACGTTTTATTGAAAGTATATAGTATTGTTTTCTTTTGGATATGTAGTAGTGTCTAGAGTAGTGGGGTAATTTAAAATGAAAATTTACTTCAGCCACAAGAGGGAAGTAGAGGCCATAAATTGAAGCAGATGAACAAGGATGTACACAATTGTTACCTTAAAATAAATTTTTAATAATAATTAATTTTAAATGTAACCTTAAATGTTGCAATTTTATGTGTTTTTCCAAAAGTAAATAATGTCTTAAACCCCTTCAATGTCATAACGCCTATGTTGTCCTTTGCCAGAAAGCTCCACAACAAAACTGAACTCACTTATCTTTCTATTGTGTAGCAACAGCATTATTCAGGTGTCTCTGTATTAACCACACAAGGTATATTTAAGTGACATAACGTGATGTGACAGAGCCATGTTCCTTTTTCTCAGTATGCTCATGCATGGTTCAGTGAGATGTACATTTCACATCAGTCAAGCTTGTGTTGCACTGGTTTCCACCTTGACATGTTCCATGGCGCATTAAAAAGAGACACACAACTGCACAACTCTTGACGCTGAGCCAGACGCAAACCCTCACTGCTGCACATCAGGCCTATCTCACAAGGAATATACCCAGAACGGGTCCCTCTGAAGGTCTATGATTAGCCACACAGGTCACACAATGACGCTCCTCACCTTCCATGCCTCCTCCAGCTCAGCTGTCCACCTCTCCTTCAGGATGGGCTGCACGGCACAGATGAATTCTGCTCCAACATACTGGAAAATAATTGTGTGACATACTTACTGACGTGCTTATTTATGCCTTGGTAACAATGCTGGTGTGTTGCACAGGTTGTTTTCATTCTGCATCTTTTGTGCGTCAGTGTATTCAGCTGCTGTGATGGTAGGGATCTCAGTATAATGGTGAGTCTGGAGCTACAGTGTCAGCTGAAATAACAACATGTGTATTCCTCTATAAACAAACGAGCATCACAAAAACAGACAGCACTGTTTGGATCATTGGGGACTTACACTGTAGTACTTAGGTGGGGCGTTGTAATGATAATGGCCTTTTCCGAGCTCAAGAGCCAGAGCTTCCAGTCTCTCCAGCTGGTCCAGTCTGGCCACGCTTTTCTCAATAAAAGACATCACCCTGAAAGAAATGAGGGTGGAGATGTAGGATGAGCCACCAGGCCCTTATTGATCCACCAGTTAATCGTGCATTAGCAGTAGGCAATGCCCAACTGATGCCCTGATACTGCAGAGAAGTGTGTTAAAAGGTTGCATGGTGGCATTTGTACTTTCACAAAACTCAAATGGCGCAAAAAAATTAACACAATTCATTGGGTATCTGTGAATCTAGGCCACACCTGATGCAAAACAAACTGATTGCACACTACTTAATCTGCCTTCATTTCCCTGCACAAAACACCACAGGATCAATTTCCTTTTTTGCTTTGCAGGTGGGTCTGCCATCACCGCAGAGTGTGTGCAGATGAGCATGGAACAAAGGGTTTAGAGTTTAGCGCTCTCTTCTCTCTCTAGCTGCCACCGTGGACATTCGTACTGATGTCCCTGAGTGCAGCTGAAGGGCCATTTGGCCTTATCGCTGTATTTGAGAGCAGCCAGTTCATGCTGGGATGCACGACACATTTTCACTGCTGCCACATTGGCCTCTGTACCTCCAGGTCCTCAGGCAGTAATTGGCTGCTTTGGCCCTGTGTGTAGAGGAACACAGAGAGGCCTGATGCACGCTGGGAAACAACAGACAAGTGGCTGTGATAAATGCTGCAGGCTCTGTCTGCAGCAGAGTGGTAAGCAACGTTATAATGATATGACTGCCTGAGGTGTTTTGCTCTGCCAATTATCTCGTGATTTGTGTCTTGCACTGTTGCACTGTGTGCAGCTTGGTTTTTATCACATTGTAACATTGTTGTTACAGAAACCTAACCTAACCTGGATCGGGTGGATGTTTTTCCCCATGAAAAGACCAAAGCAAGTATTGTCTGTTGCCAAAGCCTGTTCCTTCGTGGAGCCATAGAACTCCATTGTTGTCCAAAAGCCATTGCACAAGAAAAAACAGCCCAGTAAAGCGTAGCATCCACAATTCCAGGATCACTGTCTTGTATTGTTACAAGATCCACTTTTATGTGATTAAAAGTATTAACTCACATCCAATTTAAAACAATTCAAATGAGCACATTTGGGATTTGAGGTGGTTTCGATGAAGGAGCTCCTCCGGTGGGGCTGTGAGTGGGTACATCACAAACAAGGTTGGGAATCACTGCTCAAGAGCACCAAATGTGTATTTATCAATGGCTGAAAATATTCCCCAAAAATCATTGCCTGCCTAATATGTAAAAATGAAACTATATATTTGTGAGCTGTGAGTGACTGAGTGGCCTCAGACACAGGAGGGAAGTCGGAAACTATTAAGAGACGGAAAATATATGATAATGTAAGCATTGCTTACAAGCTTTTTCTTTTTGCATAGTAATTTAATGTGGTCATTATTATGGCATAAGCCAATGGAATTACTTTGAATACCTTTTTATTATAAGCAAGACTAGAGAGTGCTGGATGTCAAAATGCTCCCCTGCCCAGTGTATACCATGCACCACCACGCTCTGCTGTCATTGGCTGGTTTGTGTAAGCTAGTCAATTCTTACTGATAAAGTAGGTCTTAAGCAGCAATATGGGAGAAAAAATGGCATCAGGAGTGCAGAGTGAGAACACAGTGTAATACCAAACAAGGATACATCTTGGCGGGGAGTATTTATCCTACCTAGACCTACAGAGATTGTGTCCAATTAATGTTATTCTTCACCCATCTTGTGTGAAGATTTTGTTGGGTATTTGTTCAAAACTAGACACTATGCTCACCAGTCTGTCTGTATGAAACAAAAGATAATCTTGACCTCGGGTTATCTAGGTAGCTGCATAAGTCCGTCAACCAAACAGATAGAGAGGAGAGGCGAGTTTGACTTACTGTCTGTCTCACTGACTAACTTGACCTGAGGAAAATTCCTTCACGGTTTGCTCAGGTTTGTTGTGGAGGATGATGATGTGTTAATGTGTTGTGCAGTGCAGAGTTGGTGACTGACCGTAGGCCGTGTGCCCTGAGCTCCCGGCTGGTCCGCAACCTCTCCAGGTCTTCAACGTCTCGGAAAAGGAAGAAGACATCCTTGCATTCGGGATGGGTCTCAAACAACCTGTCACCAAGAAGACAAGAGCACACATATTCATTCCCACACGACAACAAACCTCCCACTGAGCTCCCCAACTAGGATGACATAAGTCACAAAACTGGAATCCTGTATTCACAATGCTGAGTGTGAATGTGATGCGATTGTGCCTTCCTGATCTTACTCTGTTTCTTCTGATTGTCACGGCCCCCCGCCCTGTTTTTTTACACCCAACAGCTGCAATCAGTAACAGGATATGGTGGATCCGTGGGTTTGTTTGCCACGTCTATCCATACTCTCATTTCCACCTGGAGCTGTGACGAACCACCCTGCCCTGACAAGAGCCAGTGCAGAGTCTCAGTTAAATGGAGCCACAGCTCCTGCTAGAGTTTTCCTTTTCTGATTTAACCTCAATCAATTTTCTTAACCAGAGAGAGCAATTAAGCATGCTGCCATCCAATCAGAGAGCCTTCCAGTCTCCAGCTGAGGTACCTGTGATGAGTCATGCTAAAAGAATACACAGTTGCCTCCTCTGGATGTGCATTGTATTGTGCTCACAATAAGATGCAAGGGTTAGGGTAAAAAAAAATGGAGGAAAAAAAGGAAAGGAAAGAGACAAAAAAGGCTAATGATCGGCATATGTTCTAATCCAACACCCTGGATATTTGTGGTGCG